TCCTTTCCGGTAGGCAACCAACATAACGCAAAAGTTTTTAAATCGTTTTTATCATTTTCATTGTAGATCCTTTTGTAATTTTTTTTTAACGTTCACCTGTTTATAAGTATAATTTAAACAGGCAAGATTATACCAAATTAGGTAAAATAAATATTCCTTGATTCTCATGGTTAAATCACCACCCTAGTTGATAATTAAAACTACTTGTTTCTTCTTGTTAGGACTGGTTTTTAAAGTTAATTCCGTTTAAAAAATGCTGTTTTCCGAGAGGAATTCTTTATTTATCATTATTTAAAAATGTCCGCGCAGTTGGGTTATTGACCATTCTCGCGCTTTATCTTGAATCGGAGTTGCACGTATATGTTATTTCTTGCCCACTACCGGTTAACATGATCTTGTAGTTGGACTCCTTCGGGTGATGAAAAATCGAAATTTATCGTTATTTGTTTCACTTATCTATTGTTCGAAGAGCGTTATTGCCTCGAGTCATGCTACGATCGATGCTATCTTGGCGTGTTATAGACTGGGATATAATCGAAATAATTATTATTATTGGATTTTTCTCGGAATGTTGTAAGTTCGAATTGTTTATGGGATAATAATTTCACGGGTATTTGTTTTACCGCAACTAACCACGCGGAGGATGATATATTTCATTTTCATATCTCCTCACAAGATTTCATATTAGAAGGTTCTCATAAATTTTGCGTTTTAATACCTTAAACCTTCCGTTGAAAACGTTTTGATGATTAATAGAGGGGGCTTCCAAGTGCCATTTTGAACAATTTAATACCCTTACTCTTTGTTCTACATTCACCACTAGAAATTACAGCCATTTTACCGACAACAGTATAATTTCAAATAACAAATAACATCATAAACGAATCATGGCACCTTTTTGGCGACGACTTCTCTTTGCATCTGGGTACTTTTCGAAGTCAAAAGGTTCCCGGTTGTTTTGTTGTGGTCTTTTATTAAGAAAATACAGGGGAATGATGTTGCGACAATTAAAAGTTTGCCTACAAAATTAAAGTTCAAAACGCAGTTCCAACACTTACTATTTTGTAACATTCACTACTACCTCATAGTTAGTTACATATCATCATCCCAGTCTGCATAATAAGAAAGTATTTACTATAGTATGCTATCACGTTTAGAACTGCAACATTTTGACTAAAACAATGAATTTTATGCTAAAACAGATCCTATAAACCCACTTTTATACCAAAATATAACAATCAAACCAAGATTTATAATATTTAGGCTTGTCAATGATTTCGAAGATGTAGGGTTCTTCGATGAAATCCAATATTAGCAACAATAGAATGGTAGATGTGAAATAAAATTAAAAAATTAATCATTAATAATATATAGGAATAAATATAATAGAAAATCGCGGAAATTTACGACAATTAATTCAGAAAATTACCATAAATAGTACAGTCTGGAATACAGCATACTTATTAAATATCAACCGGATTTTAAACCCCTAATTTACAGGCGGATGTTATAGTCTATCCGTTACCTCAAAAACTGTAAAGCCATAGCAAACAGCAAACACATGGCTTCTTATACAACATTATATACGAAATTGTTCACATTGTTTTTATTTTTTAATTATTAGCACGTGCCATTTGCACATTATTCACGAGCAATCCCTTCACAATCTGGATACAATCATGGGAACCAGAATACAAAGAATCCTCTCAAGAACTTAACCACAATACGTAGGTAGGCAATTAGTTCCAACACCAATTATCGGTGTCATGTTTTAACGCGTGCTAACACTGATGAGATGTGGGGTTAACACGAGGCTGAAAACTAAAAAGAAATATAACACAATAATTTAAGTAGGTATATTACGGTGCCCTGTTAAAATTGAACACGCAAAGGAGTCCAGATAAAAACAAATTATGCGACGGGGAAATTAAAACGAGTGATTAACAGTAATTTTTTGTTTCTTTTTTGCGAGTTTGGCCACAAAAACTGATCGGAAACACGAACCCCGCATCCCGTATGTTTTCAGCTGTCTTCCGCGCTCTATTTATTTATATGTAAATTTCCTCTCCTATGCATTGCTTTTGCACAAACATACCCGATAGACGAACGTTACCTGCTTTTAGTGCATCGTAACATAATAATACTAGAAAGATCGTTGAACTCTAAAATTTACTTTCATTAATAGTTAAACAGTGCGAATTTATGCGATTCACGCTGAATAATCAGAAATCATTTTTATTGCCCAATTCAAATCTCTTCTAATATCAACAGTTCGTGAAATCGACCACCACCACATTGGAATTCCGAGATATCTAAAGGTTTAATTGGATTAAAAGACGTTGAGGGAGCTGCGCGTTCGCGATGAAAGCTCAGACGAGCGGGAAAGCTCAGGACCGATTTTGGAGAAGAGAGCTTTACGGATGCGGTCGTCATGGGGACCGCCGGCTTCGTGCCGCCGCCGCTGCTGCTGCCGCCCCCGTATTTGTAGCTGGGTATCGATCGGTACAGAGTGGTGAATCGAGAGGAGAAAGGGTGGTTTTTGGTTGCCAACAAAAAGCTACGGGCTGGACTCAAGAGAAGATTTAAATGAATCATTCAAATCTGCTGATTTGAAAATCTACAGTAAAACCTTACGAAGCAATTAACATTAAGATAAGAGAAATCTCAATTTCTTTTTCTTTCAGTTACTTTTAATTTGACCAACTTTTACGCAGAAGAGTCATATAAATTTTAGTAACTGTTAATAAGGAAACGTCCAAAACAAGTTTCATAAAGATTTCAATAATTTTTAAAGTATTCAAAAATGTTAAATAAATTTCTCGTCGTGAATTTAAAACCAATTCACTTCGGCTTAACGTTATAATTAAGTGGAACTTGTCGCTTTAGCTCCACCGGATGTACGAATCATCACTCTTTGATTTTCGTTCATACAAATATTCTTATTTAAAAAAGCTTTTTACTTTTGTTAATTGTGCATTCTGTTGTGTTGCTTAATTACAATTATAAATAGTAAATAATTTATTCATGATTTAATGATTCAATGATAATTCAATGATTTTCCTGATTTAATAGCGATTTTGACAATTCAGCTGAGGATAAGCTTGTAACTCGAAACTAGTTCCGTTTAAATTAAAATTATAGCAAGTAAGAAGTTTTGATTTCTTTTTTATATACTTTCCGAACTTACAACATGGATCCAATTAATTAATTCTTATTTACAGATAAATACCGAATTCCGAGACAAACACGATGACGAGTTAAATTGGCGTGGCACTTTCATGGTGTTCGTCTTTTCTTTTTCATTTATTTTTAATTCGAAGAAATTTATGTGAAGAGTTTACCGCGGCATCTGTCACCATAAAACCAGTTTGTTGAAAATTGAATCTTCACATAAAATCGCACGACAACGAGAATCTTCGTAGTATTCTCGAAACGCCGCAGTAGACGCAAGGTGCTGCTTCTTCATTTGCATCTTATGGAAGGCAGTTTTCAAGGTCAACGTTTCCTGTACTGTGTTCCCAAAAAAATAACATTGTCGCATCTGCCACAGATGTGACAATTTAAGCAACTTTAAAATCAATATTACTAATTGATATTTTTATGATTTACTAAAATTGTATAAAACTATTATGATGTACGTATTGTAAATTTGAAACGAGGGAAACGGAATCGGTTAAAAAAAAAGGTAGCTTTGAGTGTGGAAACGGAAACTGCATTTGGCTCACGTACGTACGCTGTGCCGGAAGGAAAGTCATGTTCTGTCTAGCGGATTGAATGAATCCGGGTAGTTTATGTACGTCATTGGTATCCCAATTGGAATTCAGAGGCAAATTGGTTTCGACGTCTTCAAGTCTCTCAACAGAACTTCAAAAACCAGTTTGTCGGCAACGAGACTTCCGTTTATTTTTATTTTTCTCGGCAACGGTATTTCTTCATTTAAGAACGAGATCGCCACAGCAACAATGTTCAAAAAGTCACAGTTAAAAAGTCTGAAGACGCATGGCTAAACCCAAATGTTTCTAGTTCTAGAGCTAATGTTAGTTCTAATTTTAGCTCAAGTTAGAATCCAAATTGACAACAATAATAACTATTAGATTAAAAACCACTATGTTACAAGAACTTTTTCAAAACTGTATCATTTGGGCAAACAAAGACCGTCATTTAGTTTTGATCGTAGGGATAATATCCAAAAGATAAATATCACTTTCCATCGTTGAAGGGGGCTCTCGAAAAAAAAAAAAAGAGGATGGAGGACAAATAGAGAACACTTTTCCAACGGTCGGGACTGCGGGGGCGACGTTGCCTGATCTATCGCTGATGATCCCCGCAGACGGCTGGGCGACTCACCCTCGACCGGCTTCAACCCGTTCGTGGGATTAGGGATGTGTCATTCATGCTAGATGGCGTGTGCGACTCGCCGGAAAGGATACGCCTCGTTTTTTTATTACCAATCCTCGTTTAAAAAACATTCTCTACAGTAAAACCATAATATCCTCAAGATTCATCCTTCGTCGACGCTCGAAATTACGTTTTAATGAACGTTGGTAATTTCGTCAAATCAGAGAAAATAGAAAAAGGACACTCTATAATTACGGTATCATTCCGATTAAAATGTTGTTTAAAAATCTTTAAAGATTTGAGAAAATAAGTAAATAAAAATATCATTTAATATATGGAGGATCAATAAATCTCAACTTGCGAACCCTACAAATGCAATCAATCGCACCCTTTTCAAGTACAACACTGCGTTTACTCCCTTTTATGGTAACCAGGGCGTTAAATAAACACCCTACCGCGCCCCTTAATAAAGTCCCCTAAACTCCCTAAAAGCCCTACAGCAGCTTCCGTAATCGTCACGAAAACCTCTAGTTTTAACCGAAATCACCGTGTTCAAAAACTAACACCAAAGCGATTTCCTAAGTAATTGAACATTTCTAGAAGTACAACTCAACTAATGGTAGTTGAGGTACATAATAAAATTGACAAATTGTAGTACTTACGTCTTCCGTAACTTCTTCGACTTCACCGTTCTTCTCCTTATCCTTGGTCGGTTTAGATTTGTCCTTCTTCGAAAATGATATGCTTCTCAACGACCACTTCTTCTTCTTTTTCGTTTTTTCCTTGCTTTTTTCTGTGGCGGTTTCTTCGGCTGATTTTTCATCGGCTGTTGCGGCTTTTTCGGGAGTGGTGGGTGTTTCTATGTCTTTTTTATCCCTGTCGCCACCACCTTCCGTGTCCGGCGTTTGGGCCTCTTCCGTTTCAGGTAAACCATTCTCTTTTACCGTTTCCTCATCCTTTTTCTCCTCATCCGTTCCATTCTCTTTCTCCTAAAATGTTTAAAAAACACATGAGACATTTATTTTGAAAACACGAGGGAGAATAAGATTAAAATAGCTATCGAGATAATAGATATCGTCGGCCAAGAATACACACGTCTAAGACTCAATTGGAACTAATTGAAACACAAAGGCAGATAAGGGAGAATTAATTCGAAACTGCTCTGCCTTCTCGTTGGTCTCAGGGTCTCTTCGGTAAGAGAGAATGTAAAACACGCCGGCATTGTAACATTTAAGTATTCAAATTGTCCTGTGTGCTGCCTCGCATGGACAATAGCTTCGAGCTCTGTGCGGAGGCATTTAGAGGAAGACTTTGCTCGAACGCCAGCGATTAATTCCAGCGATAAACAGAAGCCAGGGGCGTACTAACAAAACGTTAAGGACCTTAAGAGCATTCGGTTAAAAGATCTAATTTTACGACAATCATAAACGAGATGTTTTCTAAACAGCGTGAAGATGATCATGTTTACTGACACCATGATATGTACTATAAATAAAACTGTTGGAAGGTTTCGATGTAATGAACTCAAAAAGTATATCGTATCTAAATTCCCATAAATAATTATCGGGTAACGATATACTTCAATATAAAATGAATCATAGTATTGAATTCGTTTACCTCAGAGATAACATTACCATTCCAATCTTAACTCGCTGGTATATCATTATTTAACTATTCAAGTCTATGACTCAGACTGCAATTATAATCGCATAGAGATCATGATTTATGCATAAACGCCCAGTAATTATATCGACTTCAGCTCAACGTCCTATTATAAATATACTTTGAAACCGGTCATGTACCTATAACCAATAACACAAGACATTGCAAATCCTTTCATACACACAACGTTTTACGTCCTTGCATCTGAACCTTAATGGGTGAAGGGTACAGCTGATGGGCAGTTACGTTTGACTGGCAACATACAGGTCCAGTTTCTCTCGTCTGTCTTATTCGTTTATGTTTGTATATTGCACGTGCACATATGATTATGAGTGTGTGTGTTTATTGAACAAGAATACCAAGTAAAACGAATACCAAAGCGCCAAGCCGATTGTGTACACGTGACGTAGACGAGAAACTCGTAGGTTTGCGCTGAATACGGTGGGTTTAACGTCGACCTTGGAACGGTACAATAACCTAACCTAACTCTGCGACAACTCCCCATTCGTGTGCAGCCATACGTGGTGCTGTGCTCTGTTATTGAGATTGGTGACGAGCAAATGGTTTTTTGATGACCATTGTTGGGGTGTACAAATGGCAGTGGACATTATTGATGATATAAGGATAATGTAAAATGAGATTTAACGAAACAAACTGCAATGTTAACCACAGATTAATTCAAAAAGTAATTTAAAAAACGGAGAATGAAACAGAAGTGCACATGTTTGATACGGTGTTAAACCCAACCTATTCAAAATGTAATTTCAACATTTTCAGTCGTTCGTTCAATTCCCGTAAATTGGCGGGTGACATTGACCCTAACGCTGGCCATTGTGTGCCGGTTCGGCCTAAAACGAGAGAGGATCAACGGCACAGCATGCATACAAGGGAAGGACAGGCACGGTATCGGCGTGAATCACGTCGTTTACAACGCACTATTTATAAAAAGACCTTTGAATCTTCTCTACGACTGCAAGTAAATCGTGCGGTTACGGAAATAGACATCCGTAAAATGTTGACGCAGATCAGGAATTAAGAACGTTTCTTATTTTACATTATAACGCAAAGATTATGCAATTTTATTACCAATAACGATAGTAAGTCTACAATTACTGAAGAGATTAATAGACCAAGGCTACCGAACACACCTTTCAATATAAAGGTTTTATTATTGAAGTCTTTAACAATTCCTTTTTTTAGTGAATAACTTATAACGTTGATCAGCATGGTTTGTCGTTGTCGGAAGCATATTAACGAGCACCTAATTTATGAAATGCGAACACTGTAAAGGAGGAGTTATGCTATGCGGTCAATTGTCATTGTCGTTTCGCATACCGGATGTACAAGACCATCTGTGTAACACTGTTGGACATCACTTACTGAAAACGACTCGTTGTTTCGTTAGCGTCATGGTATGTAAAATATTTCAATTTAATATGGCTACGCAAATTTCGTCGACACTCAAATCAGTATTTTTAACGTACAAGACGTGAACGTTTTGTATTATAAACTCAAGAAATAGATGGAAATTTATTCGTGTAATAACTAAATATAAATAATTTAATTTCAATATCAATATCGGCATATTATGTTAATTAAATTTTATAGGATAAGCCAATAGTCACGACAAATTTGTGGGGATTAGAAGACCGACCGAAATGGTAAAATGTCAAAATTAAACGTGAAGGTCACATATGGCAGAGCGGAGAGTGGTTTATATATAGATCGCGGCGACCTGAAAAGACCAGTTCTTGGGCAGCCTGTTTCAAAGATAAGTTTTGCACGTTCGAGCCACGTTTCCACTACGACCAGAGGCGCCGCATGCCCCTAATGAGGACAGCAAAAATATCTAGAAGAACGAGTTTCTTTTTTTAATCATGTTCCTCTATGTTTACGCCCGTTAAAGCAAATTAACGGGCGTATGATAAGTTTTGGTTCCTATTGTTAGTGTCTTAACTAAATACGATAATAATAAAAAAATTATTCTTAGATTTCATGTAAACTGCTTCTGTTTTGTTATACTCCAGGTAGTCATTTCATGAATGTTCTTGTACAAACGAGAACAGGTAAACGAACCCGTATGTATTAAAGGACAGGTGTGCAAAAAGTCTGTTGTAGGCAAACAAAAAAAACATGCTTTTTTGCATAGTAACAAGAAAAATGTTCCCAAAAATTATTTTCCAAGAAATTTCAAGTAGGGAGGTACATTTTATTTAATCACGGTGAATCCTCTCGGAGAGATTTTCTGAAAACTACGTTATAAATAATTCTCGTCGGCTGGTGACGTGTACACCTGCCGGTATTACCCAGAAGTAATCAGCACGCTTCACTCTGACGTCCGTTTACGTTTATAAAACCATGTGTCGTGCGCACACCCATCCCAAGATAATTCACCAGCAATCGCATCCAAATGAGGGAGAGAGCATCCAAGTAACATTGCCTCCCATTTAAGTTTCCTTCTATCAAAAAACACAATTTCCCCAAGGACTGTGAACTTTGCTTTTCCGGCCTTTTGCGTATACAAAGGCTACGCGTTATGGTGTATCTTAACATATAGAAGAAAGCATATCGTCAACATCTGTTCCGATGATCCCAAAACAGTATTCTTGGGATGGTTGGAATTTAGTGTACACAAATAAACTTTCCTGTATATCCACATTTGTGTATTAAGAAGTTGTTAGATTAGAAGAAAAAATAATTATAGCCTAAAATTAGATTTAATTTATCACTGGAGCATTCTTGGAACTCGTGTACCAATTATCTTTTTCATTACAAAAATACTATTACAGAAAAAAACAGCATATCGAATCGTCCAAGAACGCGGCTTCTTCCTTTCACCGTTATTTTATCTATAACTTTCATTGCCATCATCACGTTGGTATTATCTCCTAGCGCAGGCAGAGGGCATTAATTTTAACATACCCGGCTAATTTGAGCGTTGCGCAACGACCCTCAGGGCTGTTTGCGTTGCAAATGGCGCCGCTAATTGCGCCCATTGTCGAGTAATAAAAAAAAGAGCAGAGTGAAAGCAGAACCCCTCTTTTTAGGGGCGGAAAAACTCGACGGCGCAATTCATTTGCAAGTTTTTCCTCTTCTTCTATCGCGCCGTAATTGGCGGTAGGGTCTTTTACAAAACTCTACACAGAAGATTTACTTAGAGGTGGGAGGATCTTTGAAAGTCTCTCTGTCCAAGAGATTGTACAGGGAAGGGTCACTTTTAACTATACAAAGAGGTTTGAAGAAGTTATAAAGTGAAGTTAACTTGTAAAAAGAGTGTTATAATTTTAAAAATTCTTTAAATAGTAGTAGGAAGAAAACGGTTTAATGTAACAAGAAGATCTTTTTCAATTTACGAAGAATTAAGAAATTGATGTTCGAATTTTTAAACGTTCGGCGAGGTTAACGATTTTGAGGGCAAGTTTGTAATTGTCGGCTGAGTCTTATTTGCAGTTGGCAGCCAATTTTGCGTCAAAAAAAGCAATTGATGTCGGATAATTGGTATTGTTAGCGAGAGAACCCGACCCTATACAGTTCCTTCATAACTGAACCCTTTCTCTTATATAACTTTATTTTATTGTTGCTGAAGGTCGTAACGGTACAGCTCATAACCACGTATTAAACTCTAAAAATAACTGGGATTAATGAACTTTATAAGTGATAAGCCAGGATTAATTGACCGTTTTCTACTAATTTAAGATTTTACGAATTGGTTTATTGGCAATTTATTATTTCATGAAATTCATATCTTTTAAAAATATATTTGATGTCATAACTGGTTACTTTTCGATATATTTATTTATTTGTTACAAAAGTATTTACTCTAAAACAGGAAATATCTTATCGATATTACGAAAATTTAATATTATATTTATTTTAGTTACTCACATTGCTTTCTGCCTCCGTGTGAACAGTTCCATTAGTTGTAATCTTAGGATCAACTTCCCCGATCTCTTTGACTATACCCTCTCCTTCAATGACGGGACAATCTCCTTCGCCTTTCTTGGGAGTTGTAGTAATATCAACTGATCTTCTAGACTGCCGAGCACCCATGATTTATATTACAATATATCTGCAATAAGAAAAAGTAATCGATTAAAACTCAAACATTTCAGGAAGTAAATTCTCGAGTTAATTGAATAGAACCACAGGCGTACTTTGAAAATCATTCACCGCCTTGGAAATTCTAAAGCCTTCTTGTATTATAAACCGTTAGCAAATCTTTGTTGTGTTGTTAATAAATTAAACACGACAGAGCTCGGCATATCTAATGCGGAGAAGCTTTTGTTCGTAACCGGTTGAGGATAAACCTAATTCAATTGGACATCGGTGAACGTTCGCGCCAACATCGAAAGATAGAGAACGTTGCAGAAGGAGATTGCAAAGTAAACTTACTAAGACGTGATGTGCTTCGTCAGTTAGAGAAAATGATTCAGAGCGGCAGTAAAGCTCTTGATGATACAAATAATACTGTTTGAGCAGATACGATGATCTCCTTTTGAAAATACTGTCACGTTCAAAATGACACATAACCATATTTTAAAAAAATTGAGATTTGTCATCATATCATAAAGATTAAAAAACCTATTTTTACCAAAATAAGCACAGATAAAATTTAATTATTATTGGATGCACGCATTTAATATTTATTGTAAAAAAAAGCTTTGTCAATGGGAAATTTTTCGCCGATACCAAACACCGTCAACTTTATAAGGAGTATTCCTGTACACCAAGATAATTTTATCAGTGGGTTTCTTTGTGCGCTCGAGATACGAGTATACAAAACGAGCTTCGAAGAGTCACGTATGGAATTCGGCCTTGACAGATATTTGCGTGTCGTCGTTTCTTTCTTTTTTTGAATTTCCTTAAACGAGGCACGGTCGCTTTTTGTTGGGTTAAGGTGTAGTTGCAAAGTACGTTTTGCTTACTTTGATTATGTATGAAATTTACATAAAATATATCGATTCGCACGAAGAATGTTACTAACAGGAAGTGAGTAATGACCAATCATCACCTCTACATATGCATCACCAACCGAACATTCCGATTAATAGTTACATACCATTCGAAACAATTCACGTTTCATTCTTAAACGAGCATATTTGGTTGTTGATTAGAAAGTAAATTGTTGTGATAGGCGAAGAATGTGTAATTAGTGATTACCACTTATATATTGATATTACGGTGTAATATAGTTGTGAAATATAGTTATAAGACTTGATTATTGATGGTGGCTTCATTACATAATCACAATCAAATCCGAGTCGTTATTTTGGATAAAGATACATTACTAAACTTGTAATGATGTTAATAATTAAAAAATGGAATGTAACACACTTGAAATAAGAAAGCTAAATTATTTAAATAACCAAAGCGTGAAAGCACGTCCGTAAAATACTATTATACAGCTACTGCTGTGGGCAGCTTTAATTAATTTGTACATTTGAAACAAACACAACAACTAAAACAAAAATGCTTTGTTTGCAACAATATATATAAAATAATGAATTTGTTAAAAATGTTAAATGTTGGAAACTTTTTTCAGTGCGCAGATAGAAAATGTCGCAATTCGTGTCACGTTTAGCTACATAAACGTTTTTATATAGAACAGAATTATGAGTTGCCTTAGCTTAAACTAAAACTAGAATTAACACTAGTGCTAGAACTAGAAACATTCGGGTTTAGCCAAACGACGAATCTTTCTAGTTCTAGTTTTAGTTCAACTAAAACGTAGCAATTTTCTTGAATTTAATGCACGGTTTAACCCGAATATTTCCAGTTCTAAGTCTATTTACTATAAGATCAAGGGATAATGGCAATGTTAATTCCAGTCTTAATTCAATTAATTCCGGCCGTGAAAGCCATCGTACTTATATTACCTTACCTTGTTCTTTGTTGTACAACACCCAAGTTAGAATATTATGCGCAAGTATTAACCTTAAGAATTGCCGTTGAAATGATACATCAAACGTTTAATAAATGCGCATTTAAATAAGAAATGTTTCGCTTTTATTATAGCGGAAAATATGTTGACTCTGACTAAATGGATCTCTCTGAATCACTTTGTTGGTAGGCTAAGAATTCTGTAAATATTGGTTTTATGATGAATGTTTGCAAATTATTATTTTTATTTGCTGTTGCAATAAAAAGATTTAGGTTAAATAATATTTTAACCTAAAAAACGTATAGAAATAACTTAAAAAAGAAACAATATAGAATTTCATAAAAGAAATAGATGGATTCCTGTTGATATTCCCGACATCTTAGCACCTACTATAACCGGTTTTGAAAGACGTTGCAGGAAGAAGAGTGGGTGACTAGAACGATTGCGCACACGACCGTGACCTTCACAAAGGGTAGATACCAAAAAATCTACCCAACACTCATAAAAAAAAACGAACAGATTTTTGTATCCTTACACAAATATATAAACTGCAAATTTTCAGAACAACTTCTTCCTAATAACAAGAAAAGCACCAAAACAACGAAAACGTATTCACAAAAACTACACTTTTCACTATTATTATAGTAAAGGTAATAATAAAGGTCTTAAGTGTCCCGGAGCAGCTGTAACCGAACTATACGGACCACTGATCGAGGTACGTCCGCCGCCGGCCTCGTGAGGAAAGGAAAAAAGAATGACAACAACGCACAGACTGTGCTGGCAACGGGCGGTATACTGCGGGAGGGAGAACTTTGGAAACAACGCGGGCTGTTTCTATAACACTTTTTCTCCTTCGAACGGTAAACAAAACTGAACTATCACCACGGTTCTATTACTTTATTTCAATTCTAGAGGAATTCTCTCGCGTGGATTGGTTCTGGTGCGTGGTGTTGCTTTACTGGCGAAGTTCCGGAATTAATCGGACGAGGACGGTGCTGGATACAAAAAGAAAGGGAGAGGGAACGAACCACATCATTTCATGACACCCAGAGTCGAGTTACTCAAGGATTTATTAATAAAAGAGGGGAAGTTCATTTCAGATATTTTTGGCTTTTTTAAGCTTTTTAAAATTTAGATATCGGTTCTAGGAAAAACGATAAAAGTGTTACTTTGAATTATACAAATTATAGACTTAAATATTTGAACGAAATGATAAAGTTCTACAAACGTAAGTCAATTCAAAGAAAAAGATAAATCTGTAGTTAAAATTATGTAGATACAGGGTATTAGGTAAATGAGTTCTCATAGCTCAAAAACGATAATTATAGAAGAATTATAGAAGATCCTGTCCTTTCGTTTATGGGAAAGCGAATATTTGTTATTTCTCCTAGAAATTTTGTTTCTTTAAAGAAAGAAAAAGTTTCACAATTGTTTCGCCACTATTAAAATGACGGAAACTATTGCACAAAAATGAATCAAGGTTAAATTTTATTTTCTGGAATCATATATGTAAAGGCAACTGTATTTGGAAAGCCGAGTTGTATCTGTTAAAGAAAACTTGTTGTTTTGGCAACTGATCGGAATTGGTAGCCATTGTTTTGTATTATTATTCCTTCAAACCTTCTATTTAAAACATGTTAATGATTGCTTTATTATTTTTTTTCTTATAGATCAGAATTTTAGGTGGGGGATAAGGAAAGGATGTGTACATTTTATGTGGGGATGATTGGGAGATAATTGATCATATGCTGAGGTGTGACGATTTAAGGAAGTACGATGGTATGGAGTGAAGACAACAACACTACCACTTGGGTACCACCTTTTTAAGATTCTGCGTCCTGAGAGACTGATTGATAGCAAAACTTGCTTCGAACAGATGGATATTTGTCGGCTAACGACTCAAATTACTTAAACATAAAAAGTTTTTATTAGATCAATGAAGGATAGTTTTTGCAAAAAAGCAACTGTTGATATATCTTGAAGACCCTAACTTTATGTTCTGTCAATAGATAAAAATCGGGAAATTCCAAGTTCCCAATACTTTTGTTTTGAATACAAATTGTTACTCAATGTTACCGGCGTCAAACTATGCGGAAACCTGTTCCGTTTTGCCGAAAGCAAACGAACAATGAACCGGAAACCATTACTCCAGCCTATTGTCCTTGTAATATAGGAACATTAAATTAAAAAAAATATATATTGGTAAGTAGGAATTCTTAAACAATTTCCTAAACCACCGAAAATACACAATTTTTATTAAAGTTAAAAGAAATCCATTTTTTTGCAGTTCAATTCGTTAAAGATAAAAGGTTTTAGTGCATATGCACTCGTTATCAATATAATTTACTGAGAAGCCGGTTTTTTTTATCGAAATCCCGAAAACCACACTAATTTGGAAAAGTTAAATATTGTATAAGCATTCGTGCGAAATTTCGTAATCACACACAGAATAAATTTAATTGAATTTGCACCCAAAGATGATTTGACATCATCCATCAATTTGAGTACTTTTGAAACAGTTTGTAATTAGAAAACAATCATAGAATGTCGAACGTTCACCGACATTAAAAAGAGTGAAAGCGCATTGACACCAACGACTTTATATTGTGCAACGTAGTAGTTCTCTCGTATACGCAAGAACTCCGTCACTATACCGGCGGAATGCGAATATAACCTTCCGAGGTCAACTCACGAGAAAATCAGCGTCAATTCTCAGATTCCAATATAAATAGCAACGAAAATTTCAAAATAACGATAATACAGTCGACGTTTAAATAAAATAAAATTATTTATTATGTCTAAGTAGTATTCTTCAAAATATCTTTCTTATCTCATATTATCATTAAATTTCGATTTGCGACAAATGTTATTTTGAAAACTAGATGATAATTTATAGAAAAACAATCCGTATCTCGCACGATATAAATATTATTGTGATCTTCGCATTCCAGAGATGTAACGAAGCAAAACGGTAAATAGCGAATGAGAAAATGCTCTAGAAATATAATTAAACAACGAGAACGTTGACAAATTTCATAATTCCAACATTTTCATTTCACGCAATAATACGTTTGAACAGAGTATCGTACATAAATAAAATTACTGATTTTGAACTCTGCTAAGAATGAAATTTTTTGAATTAAAACTAGAACTACTACTCTTAGTTCTAATGATAGTGCTAGTCTCAGTTCTAGTTTTAGTTCAATCGTGAAAGCTCTCGACTTGTAATCCAATTTTTGTTTCAAAATGACTCATTAAACAAGAATGTTTATCCACCTCTTATCTAACTAAAACGAAATAATGAATCATAAATTAACGAAAAAAGAACCATTTAGCCGAGTTCTAAATATAGATGATTGTTCTGAAAGGATTTGTTATTTTAAATTCTAATATGGGGGAAGATGTAAAAAAAATTGACCTGCCTGCGCTTAAAATTCCAATCCACCCGTATAAATAAAACACAAAATACGGTTTCGTAAACTCAACAGAAACCACTTCTTTACATAATGCACGCTTTGTGTCTGGAAAATGTGTTATTTACTAGATATACCCTGTGTTAAAATGTACGATTACATTGCCAGAGGGACTGGTTCTGGTAGCACAAATAAGGAGCTTTTACGATGGTCGAGATGTAATTTGTAATGTAAACTTTTCGTAAACACGTCAATACTTCAGAAAAAGTGCTTAAACAAGAGTTTTTTTATACCTGTACATATCATAATATTTGTATTAAAAATAACAAGCGATATGAAGTTAGAAATATATGTACGTAAACTTCGCTATACATATAACACAATACTAATGAATGAAAAATACTGACAATTAAAGTAATTTGCAGTATATTACAAGTTTTGCAGCAATTCTAAATTTATTGCTTCGTCGTCAAGATAGAATGGCCAAATTGGGACGTGAGAACGCTTTCGTTAGACGTTTGAGATTTAGGACACAAAAACAAACAATAAACCTTCTCCTCCATCAAGGATGGGTACCCTTTATAAAACACATAATGAGAATACTGCAATCCCAATTATAATACAATCTAATTATATTATTTTAAATGATATCAAAAAACATTTTATTCTAATTTTTTATCAATCCATTTAGCACAATGATGCCATATCACCATGCCTAATATGCTATTGAATAATTCAACACTCATCCTAACATATTTAATAATGGATGGTTGCCGAACAATTTGACGCAAATTACTACAGTTACCGCTAGATTAGTAGTTCTCACTACTAAAGCGTCGTGCGGAAATACCGCGTTGTTTAATGTAAATTTCATTCAAATGGAGTCATCAAAACGATCAAACTAAGATAACAAACACACAGCGTTCATACAGAAATTAAATTCCTACAAATTGAAGAGACAGGAACAGTTCAATTCAGTAAAATTCCAGGAAAATGTAACATTGTGACAACTGCGGCCAACCGAAACGATCTAACTTGTTCAGATATGCAGCGTGTGTCCTGTTTAGTTTGAGGATAGGCGATAGTTTCAATGTGGCAGCAAAGAAGAGTCGACGAACCCACACACTACTACTACATAGCAAAGCCAATTTCAAACGGTGTGTTGATGCCGATTGGTATGCTCGATCCGCACCAAGACAGATTTTCCTCTTTGAAATAAATAATTAGTTGCTATGAAACAATTTTTTGATTTCATATATCCTTGATACCGCGCAGAACTGTATTAGATCGGATTATCAGTGAATCAATAAGTAAATAAATAGTTTCAAATTATCTGACCAGTACAAACGCTTACTTAGCATCCCCACCAGTTATTCCCACTAGTAAAAGGTACCAGAGGTCAAAACGTGACTCAATCCAATTTGCTCGTTCATACAGACTATACGAACAGAGATAACTTGCTTGCCGCCTCGTCGACAACCAGTAGAGTCGATAAACGAAAAGACAAGGTAAATTCAATGTCAGCCGAGCGAGGTTTGTAGTAGTAGCCAACGGACTGGTTTACAGGAAGTTCCGGCGACCGTTCATACCGCGCCGTCGGTCGTTACCTGCTCATTGTTTTCTAGAAAAACAACTACCGACATGGAGAGAGACCAGTCGATGGGGCTCAATTCAAAACGGAAATGGTACGGTCCACTTACTTCACCGGCAACGAAGAGCTCCCTCATATCACTTCAATTAATTAAAAATTTCCAGTTATAACTACGAGATATTGTAATCCTAAAATCTGTTTGAAACAAAAAAAATAAAATGATAATAAAAAATATGTATGTTCAAACAGCCGATGTCGCATGAAGACGAGGCAGTGGAAACTTCTAAAGCTGACGATTTTGTGTTGATACATCAATCAAATCCAGCATCCTTATACAGGGTGATTTATAACATACGGAGCAGATTAAAAGAGCAAGTACTAGGGGCCAAACTGAAGATATATTCTTAATAATGTTTTGACTACAACGTAATAATCACAAAGATATAGAGCATTAAAGTTGAATTAATTGCCCAGCATTTCTTACGATATATGGTATTACACTACGTTTAAATTCAAACTGCGAATATTTCGGGGTTACTTAAGCAATGCCTGATTAGCACCAATAATAAAATCTTTGTAATATGGCAGTTACGGCTACTTAAAAATTTGTTAAATCACTCAAAAACTGGTGTTTGTTTTTTGAGAACCGCTGATACCATGTTTTTATTGCTGTCAATCCAGTTGACTTGGTTACCTAGCAACGGACATGTCATTTAATTTTAATAATCAATGTCATTTAACGTCAAAATTAGAATTTTTACTAATCAAAAAATACAATGGTAATGTACAGTAACGAAGAATACGTAGATATGCTTATTATTTATGGAGCTGCTGGAGAAAACGCTGCACACGCAAGACGTCTGTATTTAGAACGATATCCAAATCGACAGATCCCTTCTGAAAACACTTTTCTTCGGTTAATCCAGCGGGGAAGAGAGACAGGAAATTTGCAACCTAAGAAAGGTCTTGGTGGCGGTAGACTAAACAGACATGGAGTGAATGTGGAAGAAGAAATTCTAGAAATTGTGGAAGCGGATCGAAGCACGAGTACTCGTCAAATTTCTCACCAACTCGAGGTATCCCAGAATTTTGTTTGGCGTACGTTGAAAAGTA